TTTTTTTTACCGAAAATGGCTTTCTGTGTTTACACAGAGATCACGTGACTATACACATCCATACATACACTATCTTGTCGATTTCATATCCAGTGTGAAATAAGCTTTCCATCAATATATAGCTTTGTGTTGTTCAGTAAATATTTTATATGAAAATATCAGTTTAGAAAATCAATACCAAAAACGTGTACATCATCCTTAAACATAGGCAGTTGAGCAAAGTATCACTGTAAATAGTATGAACTCTTTTAATACCCATCTGAATATTGAGATAACAGAAATTAATTGTAGAATCATTCAATAAATTCTGTTTATCATGTGTCCCCCTCAACACAATTTAAAGGGGAACTAAATAGAGCCTAATTTGGTGTTTGTATTTATCAAGTTATGTATATCGATTATAAATTTGAAAAAAAAAATGATTGTCTTCAGAGTTATGATTTAAATATGAGAAACCATAAACCTGCAAAGGACTTCCGTTTGCGCCATCTTGCCATAAAAATGCCCTCATGAGGTATAAACAGGAAAGGTAACAAAGCATGATGACAAAATAGTATCTGATTAAATATAAACAACTTAGGGAGCCATAGTTGGCTGGACTGGTGAATTGACTTCTAGTCTAGGTTGTTTCGACTTTTACGTTAATGTTATTTACAAGCGTATCAACATACAGACATTATGGATGTGCGATTGATTGAGACAGGCATTTTATTTTGTTTTTTGTCTAACTGTCTAATAAATGCTGTTTCCAGTACTGCACTGTGTGGCGTGCAAACTATTTAAAGTATGGACGCTGGAGTATGCAATCTTGAGTTCGTAGGGTGGTGGTGGAAACATTTTTCGTCCATGTATTCACGGGGCTGCACTGGCATGGGACAATTGTCACAGGAACACCAAGCAGATTGTTCACAGACTTCGGTGTAATTTGAAATAAAACTATCATCCGAACAAGGGGCATCGTCGACGATATACTCATCACTCACACTGGACTGATCTGAATCTTCACAGTATACCATACTTCCCTGATAATAAGCCCGGAGGTGCACAGGAAATATCATAGAATGCCAATATCAGATAACTAGTTGCGACGCCCTGTTAAAATCCCTTGTGGAGAACACTGATGTAGACATTTCATTACCTGTTTTTTTCTTCATAGAAAGTATCAGGTGGGAAGGTTAAGAAGCCTGGTAAGAGGGGTAGAAAACCTTCTAAGATAGACCAGAAAGCTAAACTGGAGAGGAGCAGGCAGAGTGCCAGAGAATGTAGAGCTCGCAAAAAGATGAGGTATCAACATTTGGAAGATGCAGTGATGAAGAAAGAAAAAGAAATCTGTAAATTAAGAGACGAACTTGAAACAGTAAGTTATCTTCAGTGGAAGAATTACAATTGAAGACTGTCTTACTGTCTGAGATCAGGGCTAGGCCCCTATTGTTATCGTTACCTATTGTATTGTATTTTTTTTCTTCTTTCTTTTTTTCGTAATTTTCTTTCATCAAGTTGTTTGAGAAAACCTCTGAAATTTTCCATACTTGTAGTCCCTGTTGTGAACTAGTGAATTTGGATTGGTCAATTGAAAGAAAACCGGAAGTGGCTGTTTGACCTCTCAGATTTGCTCATTTTGTGATGATTTCTTCAATTCTTTAATTGAAATGTGCATTGCTAACCGGGGAGCTATCTCAGTCAAGAGGCTGCTTGTTTGATTTCAGGATGATTGGAGGAAAAAATGTATAATAACAATGTTATTACGAGGTTGCCGCAAAGAACAGACAGTACTCAGACTGTACTTAGTCGCATAGACCGGTCGATACTCTCTCTGCACTGTCTTCATGCATCCTTTGCGGTATCCTCTTAATGACCTCATAGTATTGAAAATCTCACTTTGCTGCATATAATAGAATAGCATCTCCTGTATTATGCACTTATACTTTGTTGAAGGTAACTTGGTCATGAACCAAATTTGAGTTTTGAGTTCCTAATGAATATGAATGAAGGAGGTGTCTGAAAAAATTATGGTGTATACTACAGACATACAAGTTTTAATATTATAATCGAAAATGAGGAATAGTCAATCATAACCTTCCCAATACGACTCTGTGATTTAATAATGCGCTAGGATGTAATACAATTCTGACATGAATATCTTACATATACATTGCGAACAATTGGGATATTTAATATATATTTAAACTGCATGAATATCGAATTTATACTCTTGTATACGATACAGTTATTAAGCAGTGTTTCCCCTAGAAGTACATGTATGAGAATAATAGCCAAGTGGCTATTGCAACCTCCAAAACATTAGCCAAAAATAATTTTCTGTAGCCAGTTCCTGTCACATAGAAGCTGACAAATGAAAACCAGGCTTTTACACACACAAACAATTGAGTTAACTATAAAAAAAAGTGGGACCCCAGAGGGGAGTAAAATTTAAGCATGAAACACAACTTTGTGATGCAACTGACATTCATTAACATGTTCAAGTAATAAAAGTTAACATTAATAGTCTGCAATAGATGCATAAATGTCAATTTTACATTGGTGATATTTTTCTCGGCGTTCCAGTACACACTGCATAGGCCTGCCAATACAGCAGGCTTCGCTTCGGAAAAACGCATTTTTCATTGCATGCTTCATATCCCGTGAATGGAAATTTATCTTGCATTGCTTGTTTATGATCCCTTGTCAATGTATGTTTCTTCACATTGTCAAGTTTCAGTTTATCACATCCATTAGTGAAGATATTACGTTTACTTGTTTCTTTACAAAACATCAAGTTCTTCCGAATCGTGTAATCAAGTTCTAGCCATGGATATGATTTAACCCAGTCATCACGCACACCTCGGTTGACGCATGGAGCTATCTTTTTTTAGCTCCATGGTTGACGCGACTTCCCATTTTCTTGGTATTTTCAGGACCTTGATTTTTCTTCGGTTTATCATCCGTTGCGACATTTATTTGAACTTCGTGATCATCCTCAGACTTGTCTTTTTTCGAAGGAGGTGGTTTTACTTGTCCTTCTATGAAACTGTCAAGCGTACCCTGATAAATTCGTTTGCTACAAGCGGAGCATTGCATATTGGCAGCCATTTTAAAAGAATGTTATGATGACGTCATTCATATAATACAGTGCACGCTATTGGATAACAAACTGAATGAGGTCACAAGATACCCAATTGGAATCAGCCTTACAAAATAGAGTTGTTTTATGATAATTAGACAAGTGTTTACGTGTTTCGATTTTTTTCACGTGGAAACCTTTCTTGGCAGGCAAATAGAAAAAGTTCACTCAATTTCGTTATAATTTTCACAATCGCCAAATGACGAATTGGAGAAAGTTTTTATTAGCCATTCTGATTTTTTTTTCGCCACTTGGCGATTTGGCGAACGGTAGCGGAAACACTGATTAAGAGCTGCCAAGTACTTTCATAAACTTAATTCCTCCAGTTAATCATTCATATAATACTATATAAACACAAATTAAATAATAATCTTTCTCTCAAATTGTTCAAGAAAATAGTGGCAAATCTCTCAAATTTGTTGGAGTCAAAATCTGGAATAATATATCACCAAATTTCAACCTTTTAAGAAGCATCTTATTGCAGGGTTTCCTTGGGATCAAAACTTGTCAATTTCAACAAGAAACAATGTCTCAAGCTTAGGGGTATGGCTTCTATTAGAGCTGCGGCCTCAATTATGATTTTTATGGTAGCAATTTTTAAAAGGTAACAAGTGATGAAAGAAGAGTGTAATGAGATTAATGACAGTTAAAATTTCTTTTTCCCATTCATGCAATAAATCCGGTGCCTTTTCTTGAGTAGCGTAAACAAATATCAACCTCCATTTTTGCCATGATATATAGAGTGGAAGTGATTCTGACAAACAATGAGATGTTAATTTTACAAAATTCAATACTACTGTTTATAAGTCGCTACCACGTCATGTGACTTGGTTCATTGTTTAATTTCTAATGTATGACTGGCAGGATGCGTACCGATCGTTGTGCATTTATAAGAATAATTCAACAATTGTCCTGCTTGGTGGTAGTTAATTCTGAGTGCCGGTCAGCGTGGCCAGATCCCTGTAAAATGATGCGCATCAAGGTCTCGTAATCTGTCCATACATGACTTGAGTTCCATACATGTATGCGCACACACATACATGTCTTACCATCGTTGTGATGACACACATTGGATTAACTTTTAATATAATTGAATTAACTTTTAATATAGTTGTTATGTTTGGCTTAAAACGTGACTCTATATGGAGTTGCCATTTTAATTGAACTCAATTACAATGCAATTCAATATAGAATTGTGTTTTAATTCAAGATTATTTAAATAAAAATGCAACAAAGTAGAAATAACATCATACATCCTGTGACTTAACATAGAAATGCTTGCGAAGCTTAGGGTTAGTGAAGGGGGTAGGTTATGGTACAGTTATATTAATATTAATTGAACTAACCCCAAGCTATGCAAACTTGACTTAAATTTTATTAGATATTGATATAAATTATGAAAAACAGCAAGGGTTATCACTTGGTAGGTGTAAAGTTGAATGGAAGTCGTCACAAGTTGATAAGACAACGCACACACAGGTCAATCCATAAGTTCCTGTTTTCAGACAACTAACAAGTTGCATAGTACCGTATTTATCCGGGTATAAGCCCATGGTCTTGAACATGGAAAATTGCCAAAAGGAAGGGGTGGGCGTTTGCCAGGAGATCCCCGGCAAAAATAACGAAAATTCGCGAAAATCGGCAACACGCAGTTCGGTCGAACTGCGGCAGGGAATAGAACGGCAAATGAAAACATGCAACGGAAATAAATGAACAATATGCAACACTAGAAGTAGAACAAAAATAATGTATTGCTTATGTGACAAAAAACCAGAAATAATAAAAATTGACAGTAAGAAATTATTTGAATTAGGATTTTCCCGCCGACAAACACGCGTGAACTCAAAATTAATTAAAATGTCAGGGGTTAAACTGCGTAAAATGATTTCCGGTCTCTACAAATTACGCATCAACCGTCATACAAGATCAATAATAATTTACAAATTTACACAGTAAAAATTATAAAAATTCATAGCTGTTTGAAAAAACTTCTCAGATCAATATTTGTACGTTCATTGCCATCTTCGTCAAACTCAAAACCCTCAAAGTCCAAGTCGGCGTCACTGTAGCCGTCGAACAAAATCCCTACAACTTATTCCTGAAGTTCGTCGATATCGTCCCACACAATTTGGACTGAGCACTTTTAATCCACGGATTTCGCAGTCTGTCAGCTTGGCACTTTTCATTCATGTCTAATCATAATAAAGAGACAAGAAAAATGGGGTCGCTCTGCTGCGTTGGCACACGATGCTTTTGTTTACAGTCTAGCAATCGTCTTTGACCTTTATGCATCTGCTTTACTGATTGGCTAATAATGACATCACTACTAGTATTTCATCATAAAGGTCAAATCGTGACATTGCTTTTTTATCAGACTCAGCACTTATTGATCACGGTGAAAGTTATCATTCAGCGAGTTCCGGCGGTTGGAATGTCTCACTATATGGATATCGCGGTGGACTTGAAATAGGAAGTTTTTTTTTATCCGACAGAAGAATGTTTTTATGACAGTGATGAAAGATGGTAAAAAAGTTGGCAGTCTTCGACGTGACATTGCAAAATTGCTGACCCCAGTTATGGATTTGCAAGCTGCTACAAAATATTTTATCAAGCCAAAATAACGTGATTTCAACCACTCTCCCAGGTACAGGTTGCTACAATATTGCAACATTGGTTTCATTGTCGATGGTGCTAAAGCCGATCGATTGCAACACTTGCAGCTCTCCTTTTACGATTTGCCTGAATCGTTTCTAAGTTACTAAGGAAGCACAAACCAAACAAACGACCGGCCATTTTTAGGGCCACGACATATTTTAAAAAGAGAACTACTGCTTTAATATATATTTTTATAGACTTGCTGACTGTTATGATTCAGAACGCGCTGCCCTGAAGGCAGAAAGCTGTCACAGCTATTAAGCGTTCACCCCTTGTTTTACGCAATTAACATTTTTTATAAGTATCACGACAGTCTTCAAGAAAGTCAACTGTTAATACAACCACAGTCAACGAATAGAAAATAGTTTTTTTTTTGTGTAGAAAATGCCCCCTGGGCGTGTGCCCGGATATGACCTCAACTCCTTTATTGTGTTAAAAGTCGGGGTGGACGTTTGCCCATGCATGGGCTCTTACCCGGATAAGTATGGTATATTTATTTATTTATTTATATATATTTCATTAGTCCCTGTTCGGACGAAGTCCGAAAACTGGGACTATTAATTTGGGTTTGTTCCGTCCGTCCGGAGCTATATCTCGAACACCCATTGACGGATTTCATTCAAACTTTACATGAAGACAATACATAATGTCTTACATATGCGTGGCAAGTAACTTTATGATCGGAGCAAAAATGGCCGACTGGTGGCCATTTTGGATGTAAAATTTGCTATTTCTGATACCTAAACGTGTCCGCAGCAGTTTCTCGGAGATGACTGGGCCAATTTAGATCAAAGTTGGTATGATGATCATACATATTGGGTTGTAGGTGCACGTCATTTTTTTTTCGTAATTCAAACAAATATGGCCAACTGGCGGCCATCTTGTTTTTCATGGTACCCATGCTACTTTATCTTGAATGCAATGAACGTTTCTGTTTAAATTTTGTACAAAGCTAGTATACCAAAGGAATACAACTACACCATTATTTTTGTGATTC